TTCCGACATAAAAAAGGAACAAGCTGTGCATCTAAGAAATACTCAGCACTGTCTTTGGGGTTCAGAAAAACTGCAGGAAAGGAATGCAGATTTGACCTGAGTGAGGTGTGGAGCGGGGGCAAGTGTATCTGGACTGAAGGCACTTGCCCAGAGTCTCCAGAGACATTGCGGTGTGCCCAGAGACACACTGCACACATTGCAGGCCTGAAGAAAGGTAGGGACATGCCTTCCTAGGCTCTGGGGCTGATGGTTTTCTCATCCGCTGGTTCCACTCCTGGGAGTGGAATGAGAGAGGATTAGGTTACTTCTCACAGCACAAACTGGTATGCTGGGTTGGGGTGAGTCTAGTCCACCTTTAAGTGTATGTTTGGGGGGTGGGTTGGAGAACATTCTTTGCTGCAGAGGATGGGGGTAAGGACAGGCTCCTAGATGCTGATGCTGGATGAGGTGGTTTCAGTTACATTTGATCCCTACATCCCTAGGCTCTTAGGAAACCAAAAGCAATATTTTATGCTTTTCACTAGGTATTTCATGTACTCTTGAGGCTCCTTCTTCTGTGGTCTTTATTCTCTGTCTCCGACATCGTTTTTATAATTCAGCAGTCAGAAAAGTCCTGCCACCTGCAGAATTTGGTGGAGATACTGTCAGGTGAAGGTGGGGTCCTCAGTCTTACGCAGGCCTGGGGTACACTGTGGTCTGACCTAGTTCTCCAACCATTTTGGAGCAGCATTTGTGAGACACCAAGCCATAGACTGAAGATACCTGTGAGGAAGTCCACTAAGGAAAGAGATTTTGTAGATTCTTGGCATCTTTGAGATCAGAAAGCTTGAGGCAACTGTGCCTGATGTACCTTTCCTCAGATGAGGTCAGTGAAACCCAGAGAAGGGAAATAACTTACCCAGAGTCACACTGGTTAATAAGAGAACTGGGACTAGAAACCAGATGTCTCAATTCCTAGTCCAGACCTTTTCCCTGCCCAGGTCCTGATTTCTACTTTCCCATCATCATCCCCTACCAACCGTCCAAGTTCAGGCCTCCTTTTGGGCCTCTATTCTATTTTATAAGTTTGACAAAGAAGGAGACACAGCCCCTCAGACCACCCTTGTCGTGCTCCCTTGTTGGCAGTTGGGACCCAGTAGGGAACTGGTGATGAAATATTAGGAAACAAGAGATGGGTGGTGGTGCTCACCCACAAGGAGATTTGGCATCAGTAGAAGAAAAGTGGGGTGTTTTCTAGGTTTCTCCACATCTGTAGCAGGAGCAACAATGACAAAAAGACACGCTAGTTGTCAACAGCCCAACACATATCACAAATAATCTAGCTAAAAGTTTGTCCATTTCGTTGATCTTTTCAAAGAACAAACTCTTGGTTCCATCAATTCTCCCTATTGTTGTTTTAACTTGTCCTATCCCTATTACCCTCTCCCAAATCTGTGGTAGCCCTGAAAACTAGAAGCCTTAGAACCATGGCCGCTACAGAAACCAGCCTCCTAACAGCCTGTGAAGGGGTTAGAATGAAATTGGAAATCCTTAAAAAGCCCCATCCCCAGAGAATTGTCACTGTTTGACCTGTTTGGAAAACATCTGGAAAAGCTCTACTCATAGATCTTGTCTTTCCTTGATATGACTCAAGGCACATTTGGTGACAGAAGCCCAAACCCCAAGGTGTTTGTCAAAAGCAATTATCAGAAATTGTTTAATTCACAGCTTCCTGAGGCAGTGATACAGTTGGAGTAAAGAAAAAGCTGGATTAAAAAATCATTAAAAGAAAAAAACAGGAATGAGATTTTTGCAAGGATCTTGAAAAATTCCTGATAGATCCCTGGGAATCTAGAAAGCCATACATGTGTAGGTTGTCTGTGCGCCCAAGAAAGACCTGAGGAGTCCCTAATTCCTCAACTATGGCTTATCTTGGGGCTCTGTGCAAGCAAGAAGGAAAGGCTATAGAGAAAGGAAACACAAAGTTATAAAGTACCAGAGTATTAAAGTTGCCCAACACACGCACCCATACATGACCTAAGACAAAAGGGTAGGAGATTTACTGGGGCGGGGGGGGAGGGGGCCCTTAAAGCTATCTGTTAAATCATTAGCTGACCCTTAAACTAATCAAACAAATTCTAATGTGCACAGATCACAAAGAATATAGACTTCCACAGAAGAGATCTGGCAGTCACTACACAACAACAACAGCAACAACGCAGCAGTGACACGTATTCACAACAACAATGAATACTTGGAATGGGGTATTCTTGGGAAAGATCAGCAAAACTGGAAAACCATTCACTAGACTGAACAAGAAGAATGGTAAGAAGGAATTACTAAAACCTGGAATGAAAAAGGCAACAATCTCACCTAGCCTCCATTTGTTGTCTTCTCTTTTTATAGTACTCTATACACATCTCAAACTTCTAATTCTGTACCTCTAATCTTTTCACATCTCTTCTCCTATGTCCATTTCCTTGTCAGTGTGGCTTCTAGGTCATTTTTCCAGATTTATCTTCCAGTTCACAGATTCTCTTTTCAGTGTTCATTGCTGTATAACACATTAACTAAGTATTTTTTTAGTGTTGACATTGTTTTCTTAACATTTGAAATTTGTCACATCACTTTGGCACTTGACCTGTGCTTTCTCATTTTTGTGATTCTGTTTTTATTTGAATGCTTCATCCGTATTTATTACATATTCTGTATTTGATTATCATAACACCTGAAGCACTTGATGTTTCTCTAACTAAATCTCTTGGGTTTTGTGCATTTGGTGATCTTTGATTATGAAGATATACTCAGATGATTCTAAACTGTAGGATTTCTTGGAGATTTATGGCAAGAATACTTGCTTCCTTCTTTGTAGACTCCAGTGTAAGAATTATTCAGAGATAGATGGCTTCCTACAAAAGCAGCTTTTTGATATGTTTTCTCTGTTATTCCCACCTTTTACGTCTCAGAACTACGCTTGTCCAGGGAAGCTGCAGCTGTCAAATGGTGTGTTCATTCTCTGGATTATAAACAAGAGCATGTGTTTTATACCTCAGCGAGCCTCTTGCCTTTGATAAGTGTAGTCTGAAATCTGTGGCATAGTGTCTTGCTTCTTTGACACTTTTTCTGCATTTCCCCAAAATTCATCCTCATGCAATCTTCATTGTTTTTGACAATTACTTCATCTGAATTATGGTAATTTCAGTTGTGTCCCAGTTTCAAAATAGCATTCTAATTTTCTTTCTCTGTATTGCTTTTGGAAATATTCTAGAACAGAAGAAGGAACATTGACTTTTTGGTTATATCCTCTTATTTACTTCCTGATCTTAACTGTTCTATTCTCCTTCATCCTTCATTATGTATTCTTTATGAATTACTAATTATATTTTTCTGTCATCTTATTTTGAAAGGTTTTGCTTTACTTATTATTTTATGATTTACTCTTTTGTACTTTTCCTTTTACTGCTTTCCAGAACTTTGAATATATTTGTTACTAAAATTAAATTAATGTTTTAAATGATTAATCTTTATGTTTAATATGGATTGTTTCCCCCCATCTATCTCTGAGATGGATTCATTTTTTTCTTATTTTGGCCAGTTTTTTTTTTTTTTTGCTAGATAACTAATAGTGTGGTTCCCTTAGCCTACTGAGTATAAATATAGGTTAATAATCCTTTCCTGAGAAAATGAATTATTTCCCAGTACATAGAAAATGGGTGTTACTAGAACATTTTTGATCTTGTGCTACTAATGAAAGAGCACACATTTCCAAACCTGAGACTTTGATGGAGCCTCAGTGAAGCATGGGTGGTACCAGAATTGACTGTGGCTTTGCAAAGTTTCAGTTTCACTTCCCTTAGAATTTATGGATGTGAGCCATGCAACATCTGCATATGGATTCAAATGAGTAGATAAAGTGTTCCAGTGCTTTAAACTTACTTCCACATAACCTGACTGGCATTACTATATTGACGAGTATTATGTTTGGGCTCTGAGTCTTAGAAAAATAATTTTATGTGTTTTTGCCATGCATGGGCAAGTCAGAATTTAAAACATTTAAATGGGGCAAGAGATTTAAGTTCTCAGTGCCAGGGTTATGACTTGGGATCATAAATTCCATCCACAAAGTCCAGAGTTTATAGGGTAAAATCCAAGAATAAATAAATCATATTTATTAAGATGAACCTGGAGGAGGTTTCCAGCTCTGAGAATATAACTGTGCTCCAACTAGAAAAGGGAGACCATAAAACACTTAACAATCAATGGGAGCACAGATGATTCTGTGTAGTTTATTCCTATTATAAAAGTTATCTTTCAAAGGGGAAATGGCGGGACGCCTGGGTGGCTCAGTCAGTAAAGCGTAAGCTCAGGTCATGATTCCAGAGTCTTGGGATCCAGTCCTGCAGGGGGCTCCTTGCTCAGCAGGGCGCCTGCTTCTCCCTCTGCTTCTCTCCCTGCTTGTGCTCTTTCTCTCTCTCTGACAAATAAATAAATAAAATCTTAAAAAAAAAAAAAACCCAAAGGGAGAATGGCTATAATCAAAGAGAGAAAATCTGAGTACAGACTTCATATATTTAGAGGGGCCCAGCATATTCACCTTAATTCTATCTAGATTCCCCTCTCTTCAGTACTTTCTAGCATCTTGATGACACATGGCATTTCTCTCTCTGTGTTTCTCTCCTTAAGGTGTTTCTTGTTCCCCTTTCCTGGCTGGCCTTTGCAATAACTACATTTTGCAAAGATACTCTAATAGCTGTTATAATAAAGCAAGGGAATGTAGACCACAGTTTGTCTTGTCATTAACAGGACCTCATCCTAAATTACAATTTTTAAAAAAGATTTTATTTATTTATTCATAAGAGACAGAGAGAGCGAGAGGCAGAGGGAGAAGCAGGTGCCCCGCAGAGCAGGGAGCCCGATGCGGGACTCGATCCCAGTACCCTGGGATCATGACCTGAGCCAAAGGCAAACACTTAACCATCTGAGCCACCCAGGCACCCCTAAATTACAATTCTTATTGTAGCTCCTTTTCTGCTGCCATGGCAACCACGCAAGGACTAGAAGGGACCACAGGGGCTGGCCCTGGTGTGTACCAGCCAGAGAAGTCTGCTGTTCTACACCCAAATCCGTGGAAAGGGATTCCAGAGAAGTTCTTGAAGGGAGATCCTAAAGTCCTCGGGGTAAGTCAATTGCAGATCTGGAAGTAGACCAATCATGTTGTAAACTCACAGCTGATCAGTTTCAATGACAAATACTCTGTCCCATTAACCTCATAATATATCAGCCAGCCCTCGGGATGTTGGTATTTGATGTTCAGGCCTTATCAGTCAAAAATGGTACAATATTCTATTACATCATGCTTCTAATCTCATTGTATTTAAAATATAGTGACTTCAGATCTATTCTAGGTTTGTGGGTCATCAATGATAACTTTAACTTCAGCTAGGAAGAGCAGCAGAAGAAAGGCTGCATGCACACTAACTGGTGTCTACCCAACAGATCTTTCTGATAGCTGATTGCCCCACATTGTTACTGTCTCTGGGAAATTTTCTTAGCCTGCTCCTCAGAGGATAAAAATTCTCTTATTCTCAGTGCATTTCTGTCTGGAGTCTCAGGTGGGTGTGCCTAAAAGAAATGGACAGTTTAAAGAAAGATAGATTAGTGCAGGTGGAAGGAGAGTGAATACAGATGTTGATCTCTAGCCCAAGCTTTAAATCAATGGGACAAGATCATTATGACACTTTGTATCCTTTTTATGCCATGGGATAATTGTACTCCAATGCCTCTAGTTTTAGACCCCTGTACTCACTCATGTCCTCAAGCCCTAGACACCAAGAAAAGATCATATTGCTCCTATACACATGGCCCTTCCTTCACATTATTTTTCCTTGCTTCCTAATTCCTGAGTCACTCCTATCTGAGCGTGTGCAAAGGAGAGCAAGAGCTACAGTAAGAGTAATGTCACAGGGGTCAGTGAAGCACCTCTGGGTAGGTCCTGGTACCTACCATTCTTTTTACCTTGAAAATGGGACAATTGGGATAGATATCCCAAGAGACAATTTTAGTAAGTTAATATACCTATATTTATTTATATGAAATAAAAATGATAGGACAATATCAGGACCATCTGACTATTTTAAAAGATGGAGAAGAGGGGTAACTTAGTGGTTGGAAAGGGGGTGGTAGATAATCAGTTTTTACTTTCTTCATCATTTCTAGGTTGTGCAGATCCTAATTGCCCTGATGAAACTCAGCCTGGGAATAATAAACATTAATGTCACATTTCCACTTAATGAAGTTCATTATTTGTCAGAGCATGAGTTGTACAAAATTGTGGGGTCACTGATGGTGAGTAGAACACCTTCTGATATAGTTGGAGACAACATAACATAGTTGCTAATATCCTGAGCTTTAGAATCATATCCTAACCCTATTTTGTAGTTCCATAACTTTGAGAAAGATATCTAATCTCCTTTTGACTCCACTTTCTCACATTTAATGTAAGGATAATACTATAAGACTCATACAAAGCTGGGAAGATTAAATACTTAGTATGTATCATGATATATTACAGCAGCATGTAGCAAAAGCCCCAAATCATAATGGATTAAACATTGAAAGCATTGATTGTTTTACAACAAGAAACCCAGTGGCTAGTCATCTCCAGGTTCGGTTAGTTCAGGAGTGCAAGGACCTCATGGAGGATGGCTGGCATATCACATCAGACTCGATACATCTCATTGTTCATAAACGTTTTGTATGCATAAATCCTTTATATTCCCAAACCAACTCTGGGCAAAAGTAATGGATTTGTCATTGTTGGCTTGGACTAATTGAGATTCACTTCTCAGGCTGGGAAGGGTTCACTGAAGCTCATGAACAAAATGAGGATTTCGTTAACAAGGAAGAAGAGGAGACATGGCTGGTATGCAGGCAATTTATAATCAGCTATCAAATCTTAGCAAGTGGAGCTGGTATTAGATAAATTTTGTTTCATAAATTTAACAAGAATAACTATAAGATTAAGTGAAAATTTAAGAAAGTTGAAATTTTTCTCTTAACATAAAATGCAAGAGAGTTTCTCTGCAAATGAAGAGTGTAAAGAGAACATAAAGTATCAAGTGAGAAATGGAAAATAAGTTTATAAACTGGTTTTATGTTAGAACCAGAAAACCCTATTCAAGTATTGTAGGGTTTCCATTCATCTACAAAGTTGAAAATGAGAGAGTTTAGAGTTTTATTATAGAGTTCGCTTTTTGTTCCCCCTCGCCTGTTTATAGAAGAAGTGCAAGATTTGAAGAGCAGCTATGCTGTGTTACTCCTGGGCATTTGTACCATGATTTACACGTCTGATGACACTAATGTCAATAATAGCTTTTATTTAATACTTACCATAATCTGGGCACTCTTCTACATGCTTTGTATATTCAATTCTCAGACTTCTGAGAAAGGATTTACCATGGCCCTCATTTTGTGGATGAAGAAACTGGGACTTGGAGAAATTAAGTGATTTGTCCAAGATCATGCTATTATTTGGTATAGGAGTCAGGACTCAAACAGGGTCGTTCTGATTTCAGTCTTGCAGACATCGGCCACTCGCATTTTCTGCTTCCCCTTTAATTTCCTTTTCAAGACCACTTTGGAAACCAGTTCTCATAATTTATGTCCTCTACACATGTTCCGTAGATTTCCAGGAACTGCAGGAGCTAGGTTTGTCAATTGAGCTATCACTCAAACCATCGTAGGAATCCCACTAGATGATTCTTTGCTTAATTGGTAGAACATTTCAAATTGGAAAGCAAACCCAGACATTCAAACAGTCAAATAGTTTAAGGCAGGGGGGTCCAATCAACTTGATATCAGTTGTTTTAGCTAAATGGAAAATAATTACCCAATGATGGAGCCAAATGGAATAGTATATTATTAAAAAATTTTTTAAAATAATCAGCATCTAATATGGAACTTAAAAACTTTCTTTGCTACTATTTTGTTTATAACATTTAATAGTCATTTTAAATAAAAACAATTGTTAGTTTCTTTTCTTTCCTAAAATCTTATTAAATTTTGGTACCGTATTAGGGTTCCTTCATATCAGGAATTTAGAAGCTTTCTTTATATTTCAAGGCCCTCAGATGTTTAAATACCATTGCAGTTAGACATTTTTTTGAGAGGCTTGAAAAATTCTCCTGTGAATCCATCTGGCAGAATTTCTCTGTTGTTTTTTGGGAAAAGAGGAGGATTATTTACAATCTATTGTGTTTCTTCCAATATAATTGGGCTGTTTGACAAATTTATCACAGTTAGGGGTAAGTTTTAGTAAGTTTTGACTTCAAATATTTGTTTAAAGTTTTTTTACCTGCATTTTTTCACTCTTGTTACTAATTTATTGTTTCAGGGTCCTTGTCAATTGTAGCAGGGGCTAAAACTACAAAAGGTCTGGTGAGTAATGTTTCCTTTTTTTTCTTAATCTGTTTGCTTATTTTTGTCCCAAAAGAAGAAAGATTAACCAAGTATTTATTCTTCCAGAGTACAAGATGGGTTTTGTTTGTTTTTTAAAAATCAGGAGAGATTGTTTTACATAGTTGCATTGGTCTTTCAGAAATTATAATAAAAAATTGGCTGGTCATAAAATTACTGATATGACAATGAATAGTTTGGGAAGGCAGTTGTTGAGAGAATCTTTATAAAAATATGGAGAATTCCTGAAAATGTCAAATGGGACTGGCCAAACAGACCTTGCAGCTTGAGATCCAGTCCATAACAGTGACACCAAGTGTTGGTGTGGCATAATATTTGTTGACTTACTGATTAAAATGTGTATTCCGACTGTTTATGGAAAGGATTTTCATTTGCCTTGCAATGGAAGAAATTCACAATAAGGCTATTAAATAAGGTAAAGCAAATTTAAATCACAACTCTCATGCCAATATCTTTCACAAAGCCAATAAAAAGCAAAAGCCCAGATCTCAACATATGTTTTTGCTCGCTAAAGACCATACTTGAGTTTTCTTTGCTCAAAAGATAAAGATCAGACTATGGAGTGTGATCTCTATGGCTTTTCCAAGTCTGACCTAAGTATGTCTCCCTAGCTTCTGGTCCAGCTATAACCATTAAAATCCCCCTCAGGCTACAGCCACACTAAACCTCTCATGCTTTCTTGGAGAATTTTAGTTCTTATAATAAGCCTCCAAGGGAAGAAAATGCAGGAAAGGAATACAGAGCAGAGGGAGGTCATACACAAAAAGCATGGAAGCCACATTTAGAAAATAATACGCAGCCAGGCACCCGATGCTGAGCATGGCAGGTGATGGGCACGGACAGAACTGTCTAGCTAACATGGAAAAAAAGAGTTTATCTCATGTGCGTGAGGGTTGTGTGAAGGATTCAAGCTTGGAAACAACAGGATCATGTTTGTGTTTGGGCAGGAGATGAGCTGGAAGTGCTGTGAGGGGAGTGCACAGTGAGGAGACAGCACAGTGGCCAAGATAGAGCCGCTGGACTGTGGGAACAAGAAGCGAGGGGTGTAGAGTGCTTGTTGGTGACACCCCTGAGGATACCACTGGGTTGCTGAATTGACTTTCCTTCCTAGGTCAGAAGTAGCCTAGGATTAAACATCTCCAGTCCTGTCTTGGCTGCATTAGGGATCTTGTTCACTGCAGGCCACTTGAATAGTTTTTGATTCAATCTCTTTCACTGTGGCAGTTTTGAGAAGACGGAGAACTGCTTGATGTCCCTATCTATTTTAATGGTGACTGCTTCCTTTTTTCCTGGGATACTGTGATGGAAGCAAGTCACAGGAGCTCTGGCTCTGGCAAAAGTAACACTCGGTAGTCCCTAGCTGATGGATGAATCAGCTATTTGGGAAATTGAATTTGGGAAATTGAAAATGATTGAAGAAGAGGGAAAATCTTTTATTGAGGAGCCAGGCCCACGTCTCCTCTTTCTCTTTGTTCCTCCATACATGATGAGGGAAAGTGGAAAGGAAGCTCATGGTTATAGAGTACCTACTCTCCCTAGTTAGTGCACTAAGCATATTGCATATTTTTTTTCTGTTTAATTTCAAAACACCAATTCTGTTATCCACTGTAAAAAGGGAGCCCAGATGTCAATCCCTCTGTGTCCCCAAGGCTCCCTGATGGAGTTTCCTGGTTCTCTAATAATAAAATAAAATTGTCTTGAACATTATCCAACAAGTGGCAAATCACCATTACCCCTCCCCACATCTCTGGATGTTCTTGCAAGATTAAGCACTTTGGGCCTCAACACCCAGCTCCTGGCAAATTCTCAATTTCCATTCTGTATTTCACTACTTCTCTGTACCACTTGCCCTCATTTAGATGTTATCCTAATGGCTTTAATTCTCCAAATTGCCACTTACACAAGCTATTGTAGGTTGTGAAGCTGTGGGCCTCTGGGTAAGTGCAGGGAGGAGCACTCTTGAGGCGCAGCCCTGGCCAAAATGCAACTGAATCTTTATTACTAAAAAGTCTATTAGCCATTTTCAGCACCGCTGAGTTTTCTGTTGTTTCTCCTCTGTGTGAGCTCCCTTCTGACCTTTCTCCGTGCTTAGTTAGTTCTCTGTCTCACTGTCTCTTGTGTTCACCCAAATGTGGAAATTGAGCATTCTTCCATACTCATTATGCCTCTTCTTCATTCCAGGCTAATCCTCGAAAAGTCCTGAGTGCTGTATAGTCATGCCAAAATAACCCCTTGACTGTCTCTGCTAAACTAATTCATACTCCCCTTGAGGTTTCTAACAGGGCTTTTAGTAGGCAAGTTTATTTCTTGCCACTTACCCAAAATAAGAGAGTTTCTTCAGAGAACTTAGATTTTCCCCCAAGATCATGCAGTTAGGAATTGGCAGAAGCAAGATGAGATTCTGTGCTTTCCTGCCTCTAATGCCCCATTCATATTTATATTTAATATTGTTCTATGTTGTTATCCTGAAGAAGAAGCCTACTTTCAGTTTCTGCCATTCTGCCCATTTGTAGTTTGTCAGTTACAGTGCTAAGGACCAAACTTGGAATGGGCCAGTTTCATGCGGCTGGCTGCCTAGGCATGGGACCTGCGCAGGCACGTTGGGCTTACAGTTAGAAGAACCCTACACCTTCTTTACTACTCTGCTGTTGCTGTCTTGAAGTTCTTAATGATTTTTTAACAAGAGGCTTTCAAAATAAGGTAGCTGGTTCCATCTTGATCTCAATCACCTTCTCCCAGAGGCCGTCACAAATTCCTATTGTGTGAACATTTTTTCTGCCTGTCCTTATAGCAGAGCAAATCCATAAGGGCTTCTTGGGATCTGAAGTATCAGGTCTCTTCCTGCCTGGGCACCTGCATGGTCAGTCCGCAGGTCTGTGAGCCCATACTTTACTCCTGGTCCTAGCGTTGGCACTCTAGGAGACATAAGAAGGAGACCAGGCCCCTACCTTTAGGAGCTCCTTGGAGGAAAGTATAGAAATATTGGAAAACAGCTAGAGGCTGATCAAGGCCTAAGAGCTTACTTTTGAATATGATTATAAGAAGAGGTTAGAAAAGGTGAGCTCTTTGCAGGAAAGAGGACAGCACATACTACCTGGAATCAGGAGGCAGAACAGTATGAGACTGCCAGTGATCAACTCTGCTTGATCTAGAAAGACAGTGGTTTATATGGCTCAAACTCATATATTACATATATATTTGCTACTTTTTGTTGGAAATCTAGCCTGACCACTGTTTTTTGTAAATAAAGTTTTATTGGAACATAGCCACACCCATTTGTTTACATATTGTCTATGTCTGCTTTGGTGCTCTAATAGCAGAATTGAGTATTTGTGACAGAGACCTTGTGGCCTGTAAAACCTAAAATATGTGCGAGCTGGCCTCTTACAGAAAGTTTGTCAATTCCTGGTCTACCCCATCAGATGGTAGGATCCTTGAGGGTTGGGAAATTGTCTGTTCTATTTGCTGCTCTGTCTTCTATGCCTACAACAATTCCTGAAACATAGAGGCTACAATATGTTGAAGAGATGAGTAAATAGATTTTAAAAAATGATGAATGCTAACATTCTCAAGGCCCAGTTGAGTCCATGTCACTCATGTCCCGGGCTCTTAATCTATCGGCTCTTCCACAAGGAAAGAGAGAATATTTAGACCAAAGAATCCCAGGCATCCAATTCAGGTTTTTAGGAGTAAGAGTACTGCCCAGTGTTTCTCAAATCTGACCATATATTTTGGTTAAAGATTAAACCTAAAGCCAAAAAAAACACACAAAAAACCTAAAGCCAGTTCTCTGGGGAGATGGATTAAAGACTGATTAACTTGGTTTTTATTGTTATGTTAGTTTCTTATTGCTGCTATAACAAAATTATTGCCAACTTAGTGACTCGAGACAACATAAATTTATTATCTTACAGTTCTGGAGGTCACAAGTTTGAAATGGTGCTCATCGGGTTAAAATCAAAGTGTTGGCAGAGCTACATTCCTTTCTGGAGGCTGTAAGGGAGAATCCGTTTCCTTGCCTTTGCTGGCTTCTAGAGGCTGCCTGCAGTTCTGAGCTTGTGGGCCCATCCTCTGTCTTCAAAGCAAGCAGTGCAACATCTTCAAATCTCTCTTGGACTTTGACTCTTCTGCCTCCCACTTCCACTTAGAAGGATTCTGTAATTATTTTGGGCCCACCCAGATAATCCAGAATAATCCTTTCATCTCAATGGTCAGTTAATAAACAGCCTTAATTTAATCTGCAAATTTAATTCTCCTTTGCTATGTAACTCGACATATCTGTAGGTCCCAGAGGTTAAGATGTGGACCTCTTTGGTCTGTTAATATTCTGCCCACAATTATCACTCTGCCTGCAACTACCAAGATAGGAGATCATACTATTTTGTCAACTATATGGAATTTTTGGTGTTTGAAAAACCTAAGTTATCTTTATGATCCCTTACCCCCCTTTAAAGAGTTTTCACATTCTGTATCTACAATAGCACTGGAAGGTAGAGGGTGGGGAAAAGTGATTATTTTACTGATGAAAAAAATGAGAGGATAAGTGGCATTCAACAGGCCAAGACTGGCCGAGGGTATATGGCTGCAGTGAGGAGCCAGTTTTATTGACAGCAGGCCAGTGCTTCTCTTTTTGCCTTGTAATCAGATGGTCAGTGTTTTCATCTTGTCATCTCTATTTCTCACATTTCCTGCTTATAAATTTGTTCCTAGAGTATAGATGTTATGGTGATTCTGTTAAGTGTGCTAGAGTTCTGCATTGCTGTGTCCCTCTCTGCCTTTGGATGCAATGTAACCTGTTGCCATCCTGAGGGGGTGAGTATTGGGCTTGCCTCGAAGACATCATATTAGTTTTCTATGGCCGTGTAATACATTCCAGAAACTTAGAGGTTTAAACAACACACATTTATCACTTCTCAGTTTCCATGGGTGAAGAGTCTGGGCACACCTCAGCTGGTTCCTCTGCTCAGGGTCTGACAAGGCTGTGATCAAGAAGCTAGCTGGGGCTTCAGTCTCAGCTGAGGCCTCTGATCCTCTTCCATGCTCACGTTGCAGAATGGACTTCCTTTCAGCTGTGCAACTCATGACAACTAACTTCTACTTTTGAGGCCAGCAAGAGAGTGAAAACCTCTGATGCTCTAATTTTTCTTTTAAACAGCTCATATAATTAGGTCAAGTCTACCCAGAATAATGTCCTTTTTTAAATTGATGTATACAGCTTCGTTATTTGACAGTTCTATTCAGTACCCAGTGCTCACCGCAATGTGTCACCTGTCACCATGTAAGGTTATTACAATATAATGGATATATTCCCCATGCTATGCTTTTCATCTTCATGACTGATTTATTTTATAACTGGAAGTTTGTACCACTTAAGCCCCTTCATCTATTTTGCCCATACCCCCACCCACCTCCCCTCTGGCAACCACCAGTTAGTTCTCTGCATTTAAGAATCTGTTTTGTTTGTTTTGTTTCTTTAGATTCCACATATAAGGGAAATCATATGGTATTTGTCTGTCTCTGCCTTACTTCACTTAGCATAATACCCTCTAAGTCCATCCAAATTGTCACAAATTACAGGATCTCATTCTTTTTTATGGCTGAGTAGTATATATCCATCTTGATCATCCATGAATTTATCGATGGATACTACAGTTACTTCCATATCTTGGCTATTGCAAATAATGCTGCAATAAACATAGGGGCACATGTATCTTTTCAAATTAGTGTTTTCATTTTCTTTGGGTAAATACTCAGTAGTGGAATTACTGGATCATATGGTATTTCTGT